AAAGGCCAAACTGCTTCCTGCAAGTAGGTTTATCACCTTACAATGAACAATTCTTAAATGACCTTATGTGTATTCTAAAATTTACCATATCCACTGAGATGTCAACAAACGATTGCAACATGGAAGAGATCACTTATCTATAACAAGAAATTTGGAAGACAGCTGTCTGGGAAAACGACTGTAAGAGATGCCTATCTGTGCCCATTCCAAAGAATGGTGATCCAACAGAATGTGGAAAATTTCAAACAATTTCATACACAAACATCACATGCAAATAAACTTATGCTAAAAATAATTAAAAAATGGTTGCAGCAGTACACTGACAGGAAACTGCCAGAAATTGAGGCAAGTTTCAGAAGAGGATGTGGAAAGAGGGGTATCACTGCTAATGTCAGATGCATCTTGGCAGAAAGCAAAGAATAACAGAAACATGTTTGCTTGAGTTTTATTGACTACACAAGGGCGTTTGCCTGTGTGAATCATAGTAAATTATGGGTAACATTGCAAAGGAAGGAAATAACTCCAGAACACCTAACAGTGCTCCTCATGAACCTGTACATAGGTCAAGAGGTAGTCGTATGAACAGAACAAAGGGATGCTGCATGGTTTAAATCAGGAACGGTGTGCATCAGGATTGTATCCTTTGTTCATACTTATTTAATCTGTATGCTGAGCAAACAATCCAAGAAGCTGGACTATATGAGGAAGAATGCAGTATCAGGGTAGGAGGAACAATCACTAACAACCTGAAATATGCAGATGACACAACCTTACTTGCTTAAAATGAAAAGAACTTGAAGTACCTACTGATGAAGATCAAAGACTACGGCCTTCAGTATGGATTACACCTCAACATAAAGAAAACAAATATACTCACAATTGGACCAATAAGCAACATTATGATGAATGGAAAAAAAGCTGAAGTTGTCAAGGATTTCATTTTACTTGGATTCCCAATTAATACAAAACCAAACAATGTATCAAACTGGGCAAATCTGGTATAAAAGACCTCTTTAAAATTTTAAAGAGCAAGGAAGTCACCTTGAACACTAGGGTGTGCCTGACCCAAGCCATGATATTTTCCAGTAGCCCTGTATGCATGTGAAACTGGAAAATGAACAAGCAAGACTGAAGAATTAATGCAGTTGAAATGTGGGGTTGATGAAGAATACCAAATACAACATGAACTGCCAGAAGAATGAACAAATCTGTCTTCTACAAAGTGCAGCTGGAATGCTCCTTAAAAATAGGAATGGTCAGACTGCATCTCTTGTACTTTGGTCACATTATCGGAAGGAACCAGTCACTGGAGAAACATGTAATGTTTCATAAAGGGTTAGTGGAAAAGGGGAAGAGCCTTACGAAGGTTGACACAGTGGCTGCAGTGATGCCCTGAAGCACAGCAGTGACTGTTAGGATGGCAGACTGGGCAGTGCATGGTTTAGTTGTGCACAGGGTCACTGTTAACTGGAACTGACTAGATGGCACCGACAACAATAAGATTCGGCAAATTATGTATTGTGCATAAGGAGAGCCGGGAGTTCTACTATTAGAGAAAGAGTAACATATAAAGTAAGGAAAAGACTACAACAAACCCTGTGGTAATGGCTTGGAATCAGAGATATGACAATGATCCTATATGCAGATACATATAGAAACAGGTATACACATGTGTCTTAGTACATGTATACTCACATACATATATTTCCTAGCTCTTTTACTTTGAGGTCCCAGTAGCCATAAGAGTATCTAATGCCCAGATCTTTTTTGCTAAATAGCATTCTCTAAGAAAAGAAACCAGGATTTCTTGGAGAGAAGTCTGATTCCAGGACTTGGGCAGCAAAAGGACAAGATGAGTTTTAAACACTAGTAGAAAGTGATGTACAAATTATAATAGAGACGTGTCCAAAATACACAGGAACCTGCTTAAGGGAGCTCCTCAGAACCAAATCTGTGACATGTTCAACAAGAAAAGAGTACTATGTATCAGGCAATACTGATACAGACAATTTAATAAGTAAATAAAGTGAAGAGAAGGTGTTCTGGTTACCTAGTGCTGCTCTGACAGAAATATGCCATGAACGGGATGGCCTTAACAAACAGGAGTTTATTCTTACAATTTGGAGGCTTTAAGTCCAAGTTCAGAGTGCCAGGCTCTAGGGGTTGGGTGAAAGCCCCTCAACCTTGGGGTCCAGCTCTGTCTCCCGCTCGTGGCCCACTGGGGCTAGAGGGGTTTCTTCATTCAGACAGCTGCTGGCTGCTGAGGCTGAGAAGCCCCAAGGTTGACAAGTAAAAAGGCACAGTCCTGATGTTACCAAACCAAACGGCAGGCCAGTAATTTAAGTCCATTGTAAGTCCCAAGGTCGGCAGAGCATAGCAGGCTGCTGAGCAACAACACGGCCACATGCAGGGTCCAAGTGTGCCATAGGCTAGAGACCACTCCCCAAGGCTTCTGCTTACATATAGGAACAGAGTCAAGAGACCAGCATGAGAGACAGCAGTAGCAAAGCCCAGAGACTGGCATTAAACAGCAACAGACTTACCAGCCCTGGAGCAAGAAAGCTGAGTGGAAACAGAAGCAGAGCTACTCATCTGCTCCCAGTAGATTCCACCATGGAGTTGATTACCAATCTCATCATGGGGAATACTACATCCAGCTGCCCAGCCATTCAACCAGGACTAGCCAAGTTGACACAAAAACATAACCACCACAATTCTACCCCTTGTCAACTTGGCACCTGTACAGATTTTCAATGGGTGGTATCTGTACAGGTCTCTCTCACTGGGTGTCTCCAGTCCCCTAGTCCCTCTAAGTGGCAACCTTACCCCTTGGCCTGGTGGGCCCTGTTCCTCTCCCTCTTGGGCATGGCAGCCCCGCCCCCTCACTCTTGGGCAGCGGCTATGGCTCCATCCCACTGGCTCACATGAATGAGCAGCCCCACACTCCAGAACCAAGTTGGTGAAGGCCTGGCTCTTCGAAACCTAGGGGGTTGTGGTCATTCCACCCCCAAAGGCCGTGGTCCTACCCTTAAAGCTGAGGCAGCTCTGCTTTGGTTTTCTTGGTCTCCCCTTCTGCCGATTAATGCCCAAGGGCAACCCACTCCGCTGAAAAACCGTGCCCAAAAAGCACTTGGCTTTTTTGCTCCATGGGCCAGCCAACCTTCTACTCCATTTCGTGACAGTCTCTTCTACCAATTAACGCCTGACAGCAACCCACTCCCCCAGGAAGCCGCCTACCCAGTGGCACCTAGCTTTCTTCTCCATGGGCTGGTAAGCCTGTTGCTGTTTAATGCCAGTCTCTGGGCTCTGCTACTGCTGTCTTTAATGCTGGTCTCTTGGCTCTGCTCCTGCTGTCTCTCATGCTGTATGCTGGGGTCTCTGCCAGGGTCTCGGGTCAAGGACGCACTCCACTCCTGTTTCCACATTTTAGGTATCTGTCAGAGGAGAACCCCACTCTCTCGAGACCAAATTCTGTTCAGGTTCCCTAGTGCCACTCTGACAGGAATATACCACAAATGGGATGGCCTTCCTTTACAAACAAGAGTTTATTCTCTTAGAGTTTGGAGGCTTTAAGTCCAAGTTCCAAGTGCCAGGCTCTAGGGGCTAGGTGAAAGCCCCTCAACCTTGGGTTCCAGCTCTGCCTCCTACTTGTGGCCCACTGGAGCTAGAGGCATTTCTTCACTCAGACAGCTGCTGGCTGCTGAAGCTGAGAAACCCCAAGGTTGACAAAAAGGCACAGTCCTGATGTTACCAAACCACATGGCAGGTCCTTAGTGTCATTAATATAAGTCTATTGTAAGTCCCAATGTCGGCAGAGCATGGTAGGCTGCTGAACAATGACATGACTACATGCAGGGTCCAAGCATGCCATAAGCTAGAGACCATTCCCCAAGGCTTCTCCTTATATACAGGAAGCAGACCACATTCCCTAAGGCAGCTACTCAGCTGCTCACAGTAGATTCCACCATGAAGTTGATTACTAGTCTCATCATGGGGAAGACTACATCCAGCTACTCAGCCACTCAACCAGGCCCAGCCAAGTTGACACACAAACTTAACCACCACAGAAGGGAAAGCTATTGCTGCATCATTCCAATTAAGAAACACAGAAGAAACTGTAAGAGTAATCAATGAGATTCTGTAAACACCACGGTCATAATCATCACAGGTAATCATTATAAATGGGTACTAAAATCAGGTGGCTGGAGTTTGATGGAAAAACAATTATTTGCACAGTCTCAAAGTATGGTCCTATGAGAAACTTACTAATTACAAAGGGTCAGTTAGTTAACTTTACAATAGGAGAAAATGAAAGGGTATGTGATAAATATGGAAACAAAGCAAATACAAGATCAGTATATTTTATTTATATAAAATAATGTCAATAAAATAGTTAAAAGTATAAAACCATATATGCTTAAGGTTTTTTTACCTGAAACCTTATTTGTAATAACCAAAGACTTTAAGAAAGGAACAATTTACCTTGGACTGAGACAGTAACAAACACTGATGAAGGCAACGCTGCATTTACAATCAACCTCTCATTTCTACCAAAGGCACAATGCAGCTCTAATGACCCCTTCATTGTAATAGTATTCCTTTCTTACACTCAGAAATTTTGTTTGATCCCAGACTTTGGAAAATTTGGTGTTTGAAATCATAGCAGTAAGAATGAAACATTCCAAATTTTGACAGAAATGTCTCCACTATGAGTTCTCATATATGAAGTGGGGTATGATGAACAAGTGAAGCTTTCCCACATTTATAACACCTCTCCACTGTGGGTTCTTCTATGTGTAGTGAGATGTGAGGAACAGAAAGGATTTCCCACATTGCTTACATTCAAAAGGCCTCTCTCCACTATGAGTTCCTGTATGTGTACTGAGAGCTGTGGAACAAATACAGACTTTCCCTCATTGCTTCCATTCACAAGGCCTCTCTCCAGTTTCTGTTCTTATATTTGTATTGAGGGATGAGGAACAGCTAAAAGATTCCCCACATTACTTATTCAGAAAGCCACTCTTCATTGTGAATTCTTGTATGCTGATTGAGGGATGAGGCATAAAGACTTTCCCACATTCTTTACACGTGTAAGGCCTCTCTCCACTGTGAGTTCTTATATGTCTAGTGAGGGCTGAGGAATAACTAAAGGTCTTCCTACATTCTTTACATTTGTAAGGCTTCTCTCCATTGTGAGTTCTTTTATGTCTAGAGGGGAATGAACTATCACTAAAGGCTTTCCCTGATTCCTTACATTCATAAGGCCTCTCCCCAGTGTGAGTTCTTACATGTATAATGAGAGATGAGGAACAACTAAAGGCTTTCCCACATTCCCTACATTTTTAAAGGTGTTTGAAATCATACTCTCTGCTGTGGGTTCTTATATGTGTAGAAAGGGCTGAACAACACCTAAAGGTTTTCCCACATGCCTCACATTCATAAGTCATATGTCTATTTTTTTTTAAAATTTTACTTTATTTATTGTGATTTGGGTGAAGATATACAGAGCAAATTCACTTTCCATAAGGCAGTTCACATATACTTTGTCTCATGTCTTTGACCACAGTTTACAATGTAACAGCTCCCCTCCCACTTCCTCCCCATGGTTATTTCTTCCCAGTGACCATCCCTCCATACTCTTCTGCGCCCTGAGCTGTCTCCCTGTGCATAAGCAGCCCTTCCTTCTCCCATGATTGTTCTCTCCAGGGCGTGTGTCTACTTGAGGTA